AGAGCACCCAGTATATGTACATGTACATGTATCCCTGTATTGAACCTTCTTATGTTAGAGGAGACATAACACTGCAAATGCTCTGTTTATAGCTTTAAAAGATTAATCATTCTTGAGTCTGCAGTAAGTAGCCTTGAGACGCTGCCTATCTAGGTTTTCATGATCTACTTTGGAATATTACATAATACCGGGTATTATGAGTTTGTTTACGTTCTCAAATTTACTACTGATCCAAATTTACCTGGCAGTGTTAGTGTTATATGATGCCTTTCTCTGACACATTTGAGTACTTAGAGAGAGAGAGAGAGAGAGAGAAAGAGAGAGAGAGAGAGAGAGAGAGAGAGAGAGGGGGGGGGGGGGGTGAGAGAGGGGCGGTCAAATTTCAAGACTTGGATTGATAGTGAGGAAGTGTGAGAAAGGATCGAGAGGGGGGGGGGGGGGGCAGGGAGAGAGGGAGGGAGAAAAATGGAGAGAGAGAGAGAGAGAGAGGGGGAGAGAGCCAGTTCAAGGCTACTAAATAGTGGGTCATTAGGAAATCTATGGGATAACAAGGGAAAAAAGCATATTAACTGAATGACCTCAGACGGAGCGTAGCACACACTCTGTAGCCACATGCAGAAGGGTATAATTATAGAGAAGGAGTGTTTACAATTAGTGGGCTCAATTCTTGATTCCTGTGACTTTTACCAGGACGCAAAGCTGCTGGATAGTTATGAGCATGAACTTTGTAAACCACTGTCAGGCTCTGTTTGCTTTAAAATGATGATATTTGTTGCTTTTTTTCTTCAACTTTGGAGCTCTTAATTGTGTTGCATCAGGGCTTTTTGCAAGGATATTTTCTTGTTGATTTACACATGGATGGACCTGTGACTGAGGAAAATTAGATTTAAGTCTTCCCAAGTGCCAACAGCTAGTATTTACATTGCACAGTAATCTCAGGTAATAGCAGCAAAATTGTTTTATTCTGTGTATTTTGTGTATTTGTCATAAAACTTCATTCACACAGTACACGAATATTTTGTTTTACAAAACATACTAACATAAAATTATATGCATAATAATTATTAACATTCTGATCAATTGAAAGATACATGGAAAAAATATGAATATTTGAACAAGTATGTGTATAATTATATATATGCATTACGTCATTATATATCAGCTGTGAACTAGATGATAATAAATCTGTTTAAAATATAATCATGCATGTGTAATTAATGCCTTCTTCCTCTTAGCAGACGATATATTATATTTTCAGGTTGTAGACCTTATCTGCATGTAGATTTGTGATGTTAAAAGTAAAATTTTACTTTTGAATGGAGGGGGGGGGGGGGGCTCCAAATGTGTATATGCATGGAAACTGGAAAGTGGCCTAAAATGTTGGCGATTTAACAACTTGTTGCCTTTCATATAAGTCTACCTGTACATGCATGTAGCTTGCAAACAGTTCAAAATGGTTTCATAATATGCTAATGTAGGTCAATAAGCCATTTGTGTACTTGCACATGAAAAATATGCAGCTACAATGTATACAGGTAGATTTGTAGAGATCTAAACTTTTTGTGATATAAAGGGCATTTACACTGCAAGCAAAAAACCACTGGAATTTTCTCACATTCCAGAGTTTTTTTAGGAAGTTGCTAGGCAACTATCCATAAACACAATGTTAAACCTGAATAACAAAGAAAACCTACCTCTGGATTGTGCATGGATTTTTAAAACATCGCCTGAATTAAACTCTAACTTTTTTTGGTGGTGTTAATGCTCCAAACATTGGTTAAATATCTAGATTTTCTTATGTGAGTCTCATCACTTCCGTTCTTTTGTATGCAAAGCAGCGAAAAGAGGGTGCATGCGCACAACTCACAGAAAAAAAAAAGAACTAGGAAACACCGGTTTTTCGTAGGGTTTTTCCCGTAATGTTGAATGGTAGTCACAAAAAACAATGCTTTTTCCAACAAAAAAATCTGCATTGTAAACGGATGTATTATTGTGAAAATGAAATAATGAATTCCCCATGCATTTCTTCTACTGTTTACAAAGCCCTACTGTCTAATGGTTGGGTGCGCTCATTCAATTGCTTCAGTCGCCACAATGCACATATAATACAATAATACACCATGTACATGTTTCCATACTTACCATGCTTAAATGGGTACATGTAGAATTTGATGTACATATCTGAACGTAGATTTGTAGAAATTGAAACCTTTGTTTGATATTATTGAAGAAATGAAACAAAAAAATTCCCTATGATTCTTGTAGTGTTTACATAACCCTACTGTCTAATGGTTGGGTGCGCTCATTCATTCGCTTCAGTTGACACAATGCACATACAATATTATACATGTTTCCATGCTTACCAATTACAGTAATAGTAAATATTTACATACAATTGCATGCTCCAAGAACTCTTATAGATCTATTCCAAAGATTTATTGCAAAAATAAAGAAAGTTGACGTCAATTAAGCTGACATGATGAATCCCAAACTGTTGAGTCACTCCCCCCAAATAGAGTTGTCATCGTAGAAAGAACGCCATTTTGAATTTGATGTTCTCAATTTACTATGGACAGCCTTAATATTTTTCTCTTGTCTGCACTGTTTTAATGTTTTCAAATGTTTATATATCAGGGAAAAAATATACGGGGGCTCAGGGTGAATTAGCCCCCGAAAGTCCCAAAAGAGCCCCCAAAATTCATAAAAGAGCCCCCCAAATTTGCATAGAGTTCAATGCAAAACAAATTAAAGAGTGTTATTTTCATGCAAGCAAGCTTGAAAAGCAGCCCCAGAAATGTTTTTAATTTTTTTTTCCCTGGTTGATATGTACATACTGTACTACTTAAACCTTAGCCAATCTAGAAGGATTTTTTTTTGGTATTTCTAAGTTTACAAGTAGTCCTTTTTTGGTAGTTTTTCAGTAGAAACATAATTCCATTTATAGATACCATCTTCTTTTCTTTTTTTAATTTGGCACAGTTTTTAATGTTTTTAAAGAATTTGATATTGACGGAGGAAGTTTATATGCTTCATGTATCCACTATTTTAAGCATTGTCCCAGGGAAATTTACAATTTTGTTCAATTTCCAAAATGGGAGTGTCATAGCTACAGTACTGTTGCATAAAGCTTCTCATATCGCCCCCTGAGCGCCAAAAGATACATGCAGTGACCTTGGCTATCGCAAACCCATTGTATTCGCATCATTTCCATTTTTTGTTCTCAAATTCTCAGTGATCTATTTCTCTCAAGGGCACCTTCTCGAAGCCCTTATCAATGTCAGATAAGTCCCAACATCATGTGCCATTAGGCCTGTCTCCATCAGCTCGAGATTGCCAAATATATCTCGCTATTTGATTTTGAACTATCCCGATCGCAAATTATCCAGTTAATTTGCGTCTACATCAGCCTGAAGTTGCAATTAGGGGGATATTTGGTCATGATAATCAACCCAAGATGTCTTGGGCTAGTTTGCAAAATATCCCGCTATTTGTCCGGTGCGTCATCACCAGCCTGAACACTGAGCAAAATATCTTGAGCTAATTTCTCAAGATCAAGTTTCAAGTTTCGAGGTCGAATCTCGAGCTGATGAAGACATATTTTTTAACTTCGGGATTGTTTCCCAAATCAGAAATAGCAGGCTATTTGGCAATCTCGAGATGATGAGGACGCACCTATTGTCTGTTGGACAAGCAACGTTCGTAGCTAACCCGGAAATGTGACATGGTGGCGGGCACGGCGAAAGAAAAAGAAAAAGAAAACAAACGCAGGAAAATCTATCAAGATACAATTGTCGTAATATCCCCGCAGGCGAATGAATGAAAGCCCGCTGAATGGCGATGTTGTTGTGACGTGCGTAAGGGAAAACCCTCCCACGTAATGAACTGAATATTGGATGACTTCTCCTTGAAAGAAGAAGTTCAGGCAACTTTGTCAAACATGCATTTACATTTATAAAAAATGGGACACTGACACCGTTTTCTTTCTGCTAAAGAGTAAAGAAGGCTTAGAAAGATTAATACAGGGGGTGGGCCGCCGAAGGAAGTTTGGATAAAAAGACGTAGGAAGTGAAAAATGGAGTTAATACGCCTTCTACTTTTCTTTTGCTTCTTAGATCTAGAGAAAATTTTCCAGGATATTGTTCTGGTTGAATAACATTAAATCTTCCTGCTCACAATTGTATACCAGTATGTTTTTCTTGCAATAACATTTTAGAGGGATTGAAAGATACGCTATTTGAAGTGATTTTGGCAATATTTACATTTACAAAGTAGGGTAGTTTTATTCATCTAGGAATGGGATCGATATTTGAACAGGATATTTGCATTTGGAGTTGAGCAAATAGATATGATGACTTGAAGCAAAGGTATTCAGGGATGTGCTGTGTATATTTAATGTGCATAAATCCTTATTTATTATAGGGGCATGTATATCTTTTATCGTTCATTTGCTTAAATGCCCTCGCTATAGTTTGCTGCTTTCGAACTGATATCTGTATATTTCCTCAGTCACTATCTTGCACACTCTCATTGCCATATTTTAATCTAATGATACCGTATATTCCAAACTGTCGGTCTCTTCTCTTTTCATGTCGTTCTCTGTTCTCTCTCTCTCTCTCTCTCTCTCCTCCTTTCCCACTCTCGCTTCCACCCCCATTCAAATTCCCTCTCTCTTTCTCATTCTCCTAAAACATTGGTCTATATTTCTATCTCATTTTCTTTGTCTTCAATATTTCTCCTTAATTCATCCCTCTCCCTACTCTAACTCTATTGTTAACCAGTTGACTGCTTGATTCTGACATTCCCGTAGGCTTAATACACGAACCCTTTGGTTCCGGCATGGAATGGGTTAATGATTGCATGATTTAATATTGTACATGATCAATAATCTCTTCTTTCTGTTTCTATCTCTCTCCAACTTTGTCCTCCAGTCATGTTTATCTCTTCCATCCTTTCACGTCTAAATATCTTTTCATTTTATCTCTCTATTTAACAAAAAAGAGGTTGTGAGTCACTTCGTGTGACACCGCATTCTTTCAACCACCTACTCAACCCTGTTGAATAGCCAACATAGAGGGCAGTGCACCCACTATCTGAATAGAGTCAGTCTTAGCTCAGCCATCATCCAGACAACTAGCTGCCTCACCTCTGAAAGCTTTCCAGCTTCGAAGTAGCCTCCCTCCTCATGACTTTGGGTCACTGTTTTAAATTGAAGGTAAAGTGGATTTTGTTTTGTTATAGTACAAAATATAATTGCAACCATAAATTTTTCAACAGAAATCTTGTGCTAGTAATCCAATAAGAGACGTTTTCATGGCAAGAAATTTCATAAATTTCCAAAATGTAATGTTGTGGAGAGTGTGATTTGATTAAATTGTACACAGAAGGTTCTGTTTTTACAGTACTTTCTGTTTTTACAGCACTTCATGAGCAGTTGAGTAAATTAGCAGCGTGGTAGATACACAACAAAAACTACATTTAACATATTTTACTTCATTTTCTCCTCATTAGACATCAAGTCACCCTTTGAACTTGGAGAGAACTAATGGCCGCACTCCTTCACGATGACCTCAGCTCCTGATTGAGCAATCCTCGGTTTCCTTGGGACCATTCCATGCTGAATACCTAGGATTATCAAGGATTCCTTTGCCCACAGCGCGGCAGCTGTTGCTCAAAGCTTCACGGCCGGCCGCAGGTCAAGACATTTCAGGGAATAAGACTGTGGACCGAGCGAGCGAGCTCAAAAGAAAATCCTTCAGAAATCGCCCGTTATCCTTCCCATCGATGAAAAGTTTGCAGTCCCAGTGGTGAGTTAATCCGTAGTACTGTTGTGTTTTTTTATTCAGCATTGGAAAAATATTGGCATTCCATGTCAAATAAAAGGTGGACAGAAAATTGTAAAGAAGCACATAATATGGAGATTATTCTTCTGATGGAAACGAGGGGGAATGGGCAAGGGTGTCATGAGCATACCACTAACACTTGCATGTACAGGGACAGACTGCATGTACGTCCATTTTTCCCCCCTCCCTATTTAAAACCGACAAATAAACACACTCACACACAAAAAAAAACAAGCATAATTTGCTAATGCATCCAAATTAGTGCTTATGGTATTGATAAAATACCAACCCTTCATAAAGGCTTACCGCAATTGTAATTTTATATCACTCAAGAACCCCGAAAGAGAAAGAACAACAATACTTTGTATTTAAGTAAATATGTAGTTCCGTGTACAAGAACACGAGCAAGTAAGCAAACAGAAAAACCAACTAATTTGTTTTATTAAATCCCAGATTGAATAGACCACGCCTCAATTATTATTATATGACTGGTGATTGTTTACAACAAACAGAGAATGAAGGATTTATTGAGAGGAGCAATAGAAACAGATAGAGAGAGAGAGAGAGAGAGAGAGAGAGAGAGAGAGAGAAGAAAAAGAGAGATGGGGATGGTGATGCAACTGAGGAGAAGTCAGAACAGTTATTTTTGAAGGCTGGGTCAACAGAAATAATAAATATTTAATTGGTGCAATAAAATTTATGTAGAAAATACATTGGCTTCAATGAAATTGGCCTTGACGGGTCATACACATGAATCGATGACCTCAGACTTGCAACACCAATACCTACTACTTTTCCACCTGATCATCAGATGAAACAACTTTATGGATACAGTTATCATTGTAATTGTTGTTGATATAGGATCATCCCTTTACCGCAGATTAATTTCCATTATATTGCTAATCATGGAGGCCAGTGTTCGCATAGCAAAAGGCCTGTCTTCATCAGCTCAAGTTTACCAAATCACTCGCTATTTTAATTATCCCAATCGCAAATTAACCAGTTGATTTGCGTCCTCATCAGCCTGCAGTTGCAATTGGCGAGACATTTTGGTTGAGAAAATATCCAGAGAAATTTTGGTTTTGTTTCCAAAATATCCCGCTATTACGGAAATAGCGGGCTAATTAATTGCGCCCGTCCGAGCTAGTTTGTGATGAGCGTATCGATCTGGTGAGGACGCCGACGCAATTTTGAGCCTCGGGATTATATCCGGAGTCTGAAAAAAAAGGGTTATTTGGCAAACTCGAGCTGATGAGGACAGGCCTCAAAAGACAACAATGCTCAGGATTGAAGACCTTCAACACAGAAGCCCCATTCCACGCACAATTTGGAGCCTGATTGTACAGGTTATTGTCATCATTATCTGCAATCCGAGATCAGATAAATTTCCAGTGTATTACAATCATGAAGGCCACCAAGCGTTGCTGTACTTTGGAAATGGTCAAGATAAAAGATTAACTTCTCTATAAAGTATTGGTCATGTGAATCCAGTTGGAAAGAAACTATTGTGAAAGATATAAGATAAGCATGACAGAGATATAGTCAGCTATTTACTTCGTCGCTGGATATTAGCTCATGTCATTCGTGGTTGGGCTATATTTCTGCTTGATCAGAATTAGCAGGCTATTTTGAAAACTAGGGCTATGACGGGTATCTTAATGTTTAGTCATTTAAATCAAAATACCAATAACGTGGGACGTGGGTTTGATCACGGCAGTGTAATGTCCTTTGGCAAGGCATTAATCTGCATTTGCCACTCCATATCCAGGAGAGAAATGGGCGACCTGGTAGAATGACGAAAGCATCTGTGTTAATAATTGCCATGCCCTCACAGTGACCACATGGTAGGAATACTCCCCAGGGAGTGGAGATGGTGCACATTGTGCGTGAACGAATCCGATGTCCGGGGTAATAATATATATGGGTAGGAACACTCCCCATGGAGTGGAGATGGTGCACAACTGCACATTGTGGGCGAATGAATCCGATGACTGGGATAATAATATGCATATGGAGACTGTATTTCGTATTAAACACTATATAGATATAAATCCAGATTATTAATTATTATCATTATTATCAAAATAACACGCAAACGTGCAAAAGCGTCTAAATAATAAAGTGTGAATCAAGCTCAGCCAGTCACCCAGAAGCATGATGAGGCATTGATATCCTTGATGTTCGGTAATATAAACCAAGATAGTGATAATCTATCTGGCTATTTGCCTGGATGTGGTGCAGTGTATACTGCCAGTATTACGTCAGTAAGGTCATTCGCACAGATATGTGTGACCATGAATGCGATAGGTAGCAGTTTAGACTCTTCATTGTGCAATGTAAAACTTTAAAGGTACTTGTACACATGTACCAGTAGGCTTATTATTAGGGACTTTTAGATTTGCGTGGACTGATACGTGTGACGTCCATTCAAGGCAGTGCATTAAAAGGACGTCGATCGTAGCATAGACCTATTGTCTAATTCGTGCGAATCTAAAAGTCCCTATTCAGAAATTTTAAAGAAAAATGTGTGCTGAAAATCTGTCTGCTAGAAAAAAAGATCTATGTTTATGCTTTAATAATGAAATTTTAGCAAATAAAGATCATCTTTTTGATATTTCTCTCTCTTTCACTATTTTCTTGAATTGCACCAAATCTCTTGTAATTATCTAATGACACTCTTTTAAGGAGGGGGGGGGGGGAGGAAGGGAGGTTTTGTCAGTTGATCTTATAGATATTTTCTTGGTTATCTTGCTGTGTATGGAAGCTAGCATTCGTCTGTCATAAACATGTAAATGTAACACACAATGTAATACTATGTAATTTAAGTGTATCAATCACCCCCCATAAATTTTTACTTTGTATGTTAGGGGTTCCATATTGGTATAATATGCAGAATATAAGTGTAAAATATTCTGTAAAGAGATATTGCTACTGCCGATTGTGGTACTCATAGCATTCAAGGAATTCCTTTGTACATGTCACGTTACCCATTTAACACCTGGGTGCAGAGAGGATATGGTGGTATGTATGGCATTCAATATGAGTATTCGTACATGTACTCATGCAGTCATATTTTAACCTAAATGTATGTTTGCCAGCACAGTAAATTTGCAGAATACTTTTTCAGTCCAGATACCAAATTTAAAGCAGGATCATATATGTACAAGTCAATGACTCTGGTCTCTGCAGTCTCCAAAAATAATGCAGATTACTTCTTAAAGGTAATACAAAGTTTTGGTATGGGGTCATGAATTTGGTTCAAATGAACATATAGGAAGCATACCATTTTATGGAATGATCGTTGTCGCGGTTGAAATCTAGTCTAAAGTGATGAAATTGTAAATAATAAACTCTTTATGTTATATAGCGCCCTCTCAACACTGATTTTACTTTAGCTTTAAAGCAATGCTTCGTGACTACAATCGACCGATTTGCTTTTTGCGTTTGGAAATTATATATCAGAACTGCATATTCTGAGATTTTCATGGTCGCAGCTACCATGGAATGGCCTATTTGAAATATTTGAAATTTACCGGGAGCACCGGAAATTTGTTATTATTCAATTTGCTCGAAAGCAGAAGTGTTTTAGGGGCTAATTTTTTAGTGCGTATAACTACATCCACAGGGGCATCCAAATATATCAAAATTTTAAAGAGTTACTATCCATCCAATTTCCAACATTTTCCAAAACTTTGCATTACCTTTAAATTCTTGATCAACAACATCGTTCCTTCCTATCTGAGACAACCCAAAAAACAGGATGCAATTGAGCTATTGATGATTTCCTTGAGGATGAACATGGATGTATTTTCTTTTGTCATGATTAGAAATTAGGGTCAAGGAAATACGGTGTCCCGTGGGGGTAGAAATGTATTCATTGCCCAGGGATAAATGAGAGAGGACACTGCAGGAAATTAGCCACTTTTTCTTACCTGATTGTTGCAGGTACAAAAATATAGCCTATTTGTTAGAGAGACTGTGAATTAAAGTAGGCTTATTTTTATGTCATATAAGCGGAGAAGAAGAGGGAGAGATACATGTATATATATTTTGCATTTATGTAGAAAAGATAGGTAGATAGAGTAAGAGAGAGAGAGAGAGAGAGAGAGAGGGAGAAAGAGAGGGGAGGGACAGAGAAAGAGAGAGAGAGAGAGAGAGAGAGAGATAGAAAGAGAGATGTACATAATCTTATCAAAGAAAATGAATTTATTTTCTTAAGATATGGCATCCTTGTAAGAACGTAATACTCTCTCTCTTTCTCTCTCTCTTTCTCTCTTCCTCTCTCCCTCTGATAAATGAGAAATTAACTGAGATTTTCATATTTCTCCTGGTATGAGAGAAGGAGAGAAAACAAGAAAAGAACTGGAATATCAGGAGAAATATGCAAATTTCAGTAAATTTCTCATTTATCAGAGGGAGAGAGTGGGGAGATAAATCAATTTAAAGGACAGAGTCTGGGAAAGAGAGTTAGGGAGGGGTATATATTGGGGGATATGACAGCAGGGTTGTCAGACTACATTTCCAGAATAATTAGTTAAAATCAAATAAAGGTCAAACAAATTTACAAATTTCCTGGAAAACAAAAATTCTGAATGGAAGAGGGACAAGCAGCCTCGCTCTAGTGATGGCTACGGTTGCAATATGAGATAGTAGACGTTCCTCTTTGTAACTATGGAAACCACTTCAGTCATGTGTAATATTACTAGTCATAGACACAGTCATGCGCAAGGCCAAATAGGAGGCTTCGCGTTCTTGTACACGGAACTACATATTTACTTAAGTACAAGGTATTGTTGTTCTTTCTCTTTCGGGATTCCTGAAAAAAAACAATTTATTGCAGATTACACAGGATTCTTGTAATATTTTTTCCTGAAAATTTCGCTAAATGGAAAAAGATGAATATATTTCCATATTCTAAGGGGTCCTGTGATATTTAATCTATTACATAGGGGTGAAAATGGCCT